TTTCTTTGAATCGCTGCAACATTCAGTATTTCTAGTCAAATTATGTGGAGATAACTTATTTTACACAATATCACTTGTAATCGAATGTTTTGGAAGTGAATTTAGTGGCGCTTTAGAAAGATATATTAATTTGGCTGAGACTCTTTCAGGTCACATCAACTTTATCAATTGTAATGGTTACTGTTGCGTTTCTGACAACAAGTTCTACCGTAATAGTGGCGTTTTTTCATGCTGATCCCCGCAACTGGATGTCGACCGAATTTTTCAAAAATGGCTACACTGAGGTCAGTGTGAACACATATTCTCATTCAATATTTGGTCATTCCAAGTGAAAAATATTTGCTATAATCATATTTTGATCAGACGCGATATCACGACGTAGGTCATACTTCAATAAGATGTAATTGAACTGAATTGAATTCATTCTCACAGGAAGCTTTTCCTCTTTTGAAATTACGATTCGGTAATTTGTATGCGACAACATCGTTCTGGCAAATGAATCAGTAAGTGAATCAAAAATGATCATTAGACAACGAAGAAGATATGTATTTGCTCGAGAATATTTTCAAGGTTTCATTTGCAGATGTTCGGTGGTGCATCGAACTTTCTGATAGCTTATATTGGCGTTGAAGTGTTGAGCTATTTATTCGAAGAGACACACGCACCACGGAAACGTGTACCATTACTGTTACCGTTCATCATATTCATATTCACCCTATTCATATTTCTGATCACGATGGTCTTTTCGATGTGTCTAAACTTCCAGCAATTCAGCAATCACGTTTCGATATTATCCGATGTATTTTTATACGTTCAAATACCATCAGCAAGGTAGTTCTGATTGCAGTTATGATCCATTATTGAACCGTGAACTACGAGTACATCTCAAAGATGTAAAGGCTGCGGAAACATTTACATTTCATTATTTATTGAAAGTGAATGTATGGAATAACAGAAAAGTTTAATCAACATCTGGAAAAGGAAAAATGGATGGAATATGGTGAATATATTAAGGATTTTGTTCACCAAAAATTTTTGGATAACACTGAGCCATCATTAGCTAGTATGAAGGTGTTGTTCATCGTATCAATCAAACTGAAATGATGACGATAATATTGGTGGTAATAAAATTAATGTTAGAGC